TAAGCCAGTCACTGTGGCATGCCCCTATAGTCCCAGCTACTCAGGAGAATCCCTTGAGTCCAAAAGTTTGAGGCCAGCCTGGGCAACATAGACTCCTATTTCTTAAAAAAATAATCAAAAAAAGAGGTAAAACTATGGGGATTATGACAGTGTGGTTTAGGCATAGTGACAGACATAAAAGTCAATAGGAGAGTATAGTCCAGTAACAAGCCCACACATATATGGACACTTCATTTATGATGAAGACAGAACTGAAAAGTTAGTCTTTTCAGTAAATGATACTGGATGAATTAGATTTTCATGTGAAAAAAATGGAATTTGACCTCATACTCATGCCATATACAAACATCAATTCCAAGTAGACTGTAGAGCTAAGTGTAAAAGATAAAAGAGTAATTCTCTTCTAGAAAGTAAATGTATTTGCATGGTCTTAGAGTAGCCAAGAGTTCTTAAACAGACTTGAAATACACATATACACACTAGCCGTAAAGGAAAGATTGATAAATTGAACTACATTAGAAAATATAAGCTTCTATTAATCAAATGACACCCGTTTCTTAACAGGAAGCCATAGAGTAGAAGATATTTGCAACAAATATAACCAGTAAAGAGCTCATATCTAGAATGTATAAAGAACTCTTCCAGACGAGCCATTAGAAAAATTGACAAAAGTCCAAAACAGACATCTTATAAAAATGGAGATCTGAATGAACAAGAAACATGTGAACACGTTTTCAACATCATTAACCATCAAATAAATGCAAGATAAGGCCGGGCGTGGTGGCTCATATCTATAATCCTAGCACTCTGGGAGGCCAAGGCAGGAGGATCGCTTGAGCCCAGGAGTTTGAGGTTGCTGTGAGCTAGGCTGACGCTGTGGCACTCTAGCCTGGGCAAGAGAGTGAGACTCTGTCTCAAAAAATAAATAAATAAATGCAAGATAAAAACACACCACTTTGAAATTGGAACTCTTGTGCACTGCTGATGGGATTGTAAAATGGTGTAATCACTGGAAAACAGTATGGAGGTTCCTCAAAAAATTAAAAATAGACTGTCAAATGACAGTCCCACTTCTGGGTATGTATCCAAAAAATTGAAAGCGGGATCTTGAAGAGGTATTTGCACACCCACGTTCATAGCAGCACTCTTCACAATAGGCAAGAGGTGGAAACACCCACGTGCCCACTGACAGAAGAATGGATAAACAAAATGTGGTGTATACGTACAGTGGAATATTATTCAGCCTTATAAAAGAAGAAAAGGCTGTCACATACTACAACATGGATGAACCTTGAGGACATTATGCTAAGTGAAATGAAAGACAAGTCCTGTGGGCCAGGTGTGGTGGCTCATGCCTGTAACTCCAGCACTTTGGGAGGCTGAGGCAGGAAGATCGCTTGAGGCCAGCAATTCAAGACCAGCCTGGGCAACATAGTAAGACTCCCATCTCTACAAAAAATAAAAAAATTATCCAGGCAGTGACAGGCCTGTAGTCCCAGCTACTGGGGAGGCTGAGGTAGGAGAATCGCTTGAGCCCAGGAGTTTGAGGTGGCAGTGAGCTACGATGATGCCACTGCACTCTATTTAGGGCGATGGAGTGAGACTCTCTCAGAAAAAGGCAGACACTGTGATTCCACTTATCTGAGGTCTCTAAAGTCAAATTCATAGAAGCGGTAACATGGTGGTTACCAGGGGCTGGGGAAGAGGGACTGAGGAAAGGGAGTTGTTTAGTAGGTATAGAGTTTCAGTTTTGCAAGAGAAAAAAGTTCTGGAGATCTTTTTCACAATAACATGAATATACTTAACACTATTGAACTACGCACTTAAAAATAATTAAGATAGTAAATTTTATGTTACGTGTTTTTTACTGCAATAAAAAATAAACAAAACAACCACCACTATTCATACTCACCAGAATGGCAAAATAAAAAAGACTAAAAATACTAAGTGTTGTCAAAGCAACGGAACAAACTGCCGGTGGGAGTGCACATTGGTATGAAAGCTTTTAAAAAAAAGTTTGGGCTGGTCTGAAGGTAGTGAGTTATCTCACTTGATTGTTCACAGTCAGTTACAGGTTGAACTCCTTGTTCTACCTCTTAACTCCCCTCCTCACTACTGCACTTGACTAGTCTTAAAAACAAAAAAAAAAAAGTTTGATGTTGGCCAGGCACAGTGGCTCACACCTGTAATCCTAGCACTCTCGGAGGCTGAGGCGGGAGGATCACTTGAGGTCAGGAGTTCAAGACCAGCCTGAACAAGAGTGAGACCCTGTCTCTACTAAAAATAGAGTTGGGTGGGGTGGCATGTGCCTATAGTCCCAGCTACTAGGGAGGCTGAGGCAGGAGGATGGCTTGAGCCCAGGAGTTTGAGGTTGCTGTGAGCTAAGCTGATGCCACAGCACTCTAGCCCAGCCTACAGAGTGAGACTGCCTCCAAAAAAAAAATTTGATGTTATCTATTAAACTGGAGCATACATACACCATATGCCCCAGCAAGCAGTACCTCTACACGTATATACTCAACAGAAATGCATACTTATATGTAACAAAGACATGTATAAAAATGTTCATAGCATTTTTTGTTACAGCCCCAAACTGGATACCACGCACACGTCCATCATTAGTGGAATGGATAAGCAAGTTGTATGCATACAATGGGTATACACTGAAATGAAAATGAACGCACTGCTACAGGCAAATGGGTGAATCTCACAAACATGTTGAGTAAAAGGAGCCAGACACAAAAGAACAGAGACTGTATGATTCCATTTATGCAAAGTTCAAAAACAGGCGAAAACTAACCTATGGGGTTAGAAGTCAGGATAGTGCTTACCTTTGTGGAAGAAGGAAAGAGAGTGGGAGGACGGGCACAAGCGGGGAGGGGGGGTGGTCTTTTAAAGGGAAACAAGGTTCTTTCTTCACCTGAGGGTAGAAACACAAGTGTATCTGCTCTGTGATAATTGAGTTGTGCACTTAAAAACTGGTGTATCTTCTGTATATGCTGTATGTCAATAAAAGAGGGGGGGAAAGTCAGGGCTTCTGTATCAGGTTTAAGCTGCCCATTGGTCACCTTTCCGTGTCCTTCTCTCTCCAGCTCTTCACAGAGGTCCTCCAGGATCAAGGGGACTGATGATTCCACCACTGCTCAGTCTCCCACCTCCTCCCCGGGGTAGAGGCCCAATTCGGGGAGGCCTTGGCCCCAGGTCTGGCCCATATGGTCGTGGTTGGTGGGGGGTCAATGCTGAACCTCCTTTTCTGGGGCCAGGCCATGGGGGTCCCTCCAGGGGAAGCTTTCACAAAGAGCAGAGAAACCCTCGAAGGCTCAAAAGCTGGTCTCTTATCAAGAATACCTGCCCAGCCAAGGATGACCCCCAGGTTATGGAAGGTGAGGTCCATTTTGTTACGCCCATTACTCCAGAGTGACCTAATTCCCAGAATGCCCATGACTTTTTTCCTTTGGGCTATCCTTTTTCATTCTGAAGCAGAAGTAGACCTGAATGGTCTTTTTTCCCCAGGAGAAAGACTGCTATTCCAAAATACCTGGAAATGGTAGGGGGTAGGAAATGTGACCTCCTCTCTCTGCTTTTTATTGCATTTGTTCTTTCTTACTCAAATTTTAAACTGCCCAATTTTCACTGTTCACAGACAAATCCGACCGCCCTGTCTGCCGACACTTTGCCAAAAAGGGCCACTGTCGATATGAGGACCTCTGTGCCTTCTACCACCCCGGCGTCAATGGACCTCCTCTGTGAGACTGTGCCTTCCATCCAGGCTGGAAGGAGCCCTGTGTGACCTAGCGGCCATGCATTTCCCCGTGGCCCTGTGGAGGCTGCTGTGAGGCTCTTCCACCCAACACCCGCAGTCAGTGACACCCTCCTCACCCACCGCCACCCCCATTCAGGGCCCAGAGTTGTGTTTCAGCACTGGTGGGCAGCGTGTGCTTGCTTCTGATCTGGCCTCCAGAGACTTGCCTTCGGGACCCCTTCGACTGCCTCCTGGCTCCTTCCCCTGTCAAATGACTGCTGAACAGGAAACCTCTCTGGTGCTGTTTCTTGTGCATCTGTCCACCAGTCCCTCACTATTGCCCTCGATTCCTGAGAGCCTGGAGCCTGGAGAACCATTCCCTTCTAGCTGCTCGTTTCAAGTCCTTTTTATGTGACACCCCTTACCCTCAATGTTGTCAGCTGCTCGTGAAACTCACCAGGTTGTCCGACCTGGGGTCAAGTTTGGGTGACTGGTACAGAGTTACTCCCTCAGAGGCCACTCTCCCTGCTTTTGGAGTTTGTAGTTTCTCTGTCAGTAGCATGATCCCCACCACTATGGTCTGTGATCACTGTGCTTTGTGAAACTGTGCATATCCCTTTGTAGCCTTTCTCAGTGTCTGTGGCATTTTTGTGACTTCCCAACACTAGAATAAGTTTTTCTGCCAAAACGAGTGAGGCTCTTGGTGCCCTCTAGACTTTCCCCGCCTCCCAACATGGGAGAATTGTGAAACTTTCCACAAGACTGCCTCCCTGGTCCTCCGCATTCTCCTGGTGTTGGTTATTCTGGGTCTGACTCAGGCCTGTGAGGCGTCTGGTAAAGCCTCTGGTGGCTTTACCCTACCTAGCTCCTCTCCAGTGCATTTTAGTTAGACTGTGTCATTATGAGGCCACCAGCCCTTTCATTTGAATTCTGTGAATCTCCACCTGGCCTGTCTTTGGGTGGAGCCTGGACAGTACTGTCGCCCTCTCCCAACCCTCGTCCCTACATCCCTGGCGCTGGTTGTTTTCTGTGAAAACGGCAGTGAGTGGGTTCGGTTTTGAGCTGGCCCTGAGGAAATGGGTCAGGAGTTGTGTGGGTAAGAGGGAGGGGTGAGACCTCTTGGAGAACTGAGAATGAGTTTTTTTTTTTCTTTTTAACATTTTTTTATATTAGTAATAAACGGAGTGGAAACCAGCATTTTCTTTAATCCCTGTGTGCTAGTCATTTCTGGAGGTGTGGGTGAGGCTGTTCTTACTTGACAGAGTCAGCTCGCTGAAGAGTGTGGCTCATGTGCAGTGGTGATAGGCAATGGCAAAGTGTAAGTCTCTTCCAGGCTGAAAGAACCAATGGGATCCCATTAGCCTAGAGACATCAGCCACACCAAGCTGTGTTATGTCCAAGGCAAAGTTTTGTAGGAAAAAGGAAAGGCCCCGAGTGTCTGGAGTAGTTTTTAATTTACTTTGTAGGGTTGGTGTTTAGGGAGCGGGGATGATGAAGCAGTCTTTCAACAAATACCTGTGGAGTGCCTACGGGCCAGGCAATATACTAAGCACTAGAGGTAACTGAGAGCCAAAACCAATGAATTGAAAGAAAAAAATCTGGGGAAGACAGGTTCATCAAATAATCACTAATAAGCTGTAAAGTTACACCTGTCAAAAGTGCTGGGCAGAAGAGAGACGTGGTGAAAGGGAAATTTGCAGTAAAGGGAGTCAGGGGAGGAGATGCATCTGAGACAAGCTCTGAAGGATAGACAGGAGGTGGGGTGGGAGAGAGTAATCGAGGCCAAGGTTTTTCTAAAAGACCTAGGGGAAAATGAGCTAAGAAAACTAGGGAGAGTAGAAGACAAGGGTGAAGAGCTAGACTACTTGGGGCCTTGTAGAACACAAGGACTTGGCTCTTTTCTTAAAACAGAAGCCTTTGAAGAGTTTTAGGCAGGTGGAAATCATGGATTAGATTGATTTTACAAAAAGACTAACCTGTAGAGAGAGGGCCAGGCTTGCACCTGGAGGTTATAAGGTTACTTCACCAGTACAGCCAAGCTGTGGTGATGGCATAGACTTGGGTAGTGGAGCTGGAGAAAAGTGGACGTTTGGAAATGACAGGTCAAAACAAAAATATTTTAGGTTTCTCTGGGTAGTTCTGGCTTATGTAACTAAGTGCCATTTAAAAAGAAAGGTATTGGAAGAAAACAAGCAGACTGCCACTAATCTGCTTTTGGAATGGTTGAGGTTGCTCTGCCTTTGAAGACATCCAGGCAAAGATATAAAGTAGGTAGTTAGATATACAGGTTTTGGTATTCAGATTAGAACTAGAGACAAATCTGAGTTATCTGCATATAGGTGGTGGTTGAAGCCATGACCACGGATAAATTCATTCACTCTAAGTATGAAGCACCTATGTCCCACTCCGTCAGATTCCTCAAGTTCAGTTGTAACAGAAACCCAAACTTCGTCTTAAGCAAGATAATTTTATTTCTCTTATGAGTCAAGAGGTAGACAGTCCAAGGCATATGTGACAATCGTGCCACCACAGGGTTCTCAGGTGTTCAGAACCCCAAGCCCCAGCTTTCAGATACACAATCATAAACTCCTATTCACAGTCCAAAGTGAAGCTGTAGCTTCCTCATCCATGTTCAAAGTCCCAGGAAGGAGGAAGGGCAGAGGACACCAGTTTTCTTTTAGGAAACTTCTTCAAAGTTAACATACAGCTCTTCAGCTTATATGCCACTGGCTGTAACTTAGTCCTGTGGCTACTACCTAGTTCTTGGAAAAGTACTCTTTTTTTGTGTGTTCTGGCAGCCATGTGCTAAGCAAAATATCAGGGCCTTTCTGTTGGTAAAAAATGTTAGCATAGGATGAAGAGCCTCTAACTGCCACTCACTATGTGAAAATTGGGGGATGCAACAGAGAATAAGACAGTGAAGGTGTCAACGCCCTCCAGCTAAAGACCACCAGGAACCTGCCTACAATCAAACAAAGTTGGGTTTATCACCTCTGCAAGTGCAGAGATTATCTCGTTAAAAGAGGGTTTCCTTTTGAGACAGGCTGTCTCTCCATCACCCAGGCTGGATCGAGCAGTGGCTCGATCATAAGTCCCTGCAACCTCAAACGATCCTCCCGCCTCAGCCTCCTGAGTAGCTGGCATTACAGGTGCGCACCACCACGCCTGGCTGATTTTTAAATCTTTTTGTAGAGACAGGAGTCTCACTATGTTGTCCAGGCTAGTCTCCTGACCTCAATTGATCTTCCCACCTTGGCCCCCCAAAGCACTGGGATTACAGGCATGAACCACTGTGCCTGGCCTGTGTTAGATGATTTCAAAGAAGCAGGGAATTTCTGGCTTTGCTACTGTCAGGAAGGAGAGGCAATTCTATGATTGCACATCTTCATCTTATCTAGAAAGAAGAAGTAATGAAATATGGCTAGAGCCATAACATAAAAAACCAACATTAGAGTGAGACCCAGTCTCAATAAATAATTAATTAATAATTAATAAATAAATCAGCCAGCCAGCCAGCACTCATTCTATCATTTGAGCCAAGAGGGAACTGTTTGGTACTTTTGTAGTTTGCACAGTGACCTTGTTTTTGTCTGTGCATAGACAACATTATGAAGTTTGTCTCACTTCATTACAATCACAGAATGACCTTGTCTAACACTGGTGTTCCGTGAGATTATGTTCAACAAGTGAGCCCCATGGCCTACCTGTGAGCATCATGCCAGCTGCTAACAACTCCGAAGCCTATCTGTTAGTGTCAGGCCAGTTCCCATTTGTCAGGGGCTGTTTTTCTCAAAAGTAAACAAATGGGTAACTACAGGTTGTGATCAGTAATATGAAGGAAGGAAATGGGGTGCTGAATAGACAACAGTGGTTAGGGAGCTACTTAGACATGGTGGTTAGGACAGACCTCCCTGAGGAATCTGTAGCCGAAATCACCAGGGAGGAGAATGTCAAGTGGGAAGAAAGGGCCCGCGACTTTACCTTGAGGAACTCTGACATTGAATGGCTGAGCAAAGAAGGACGAGGATAAGCCTAACAAAGAGGCTGAGGAGGGTTTCCAGAGAGGCAGGGAGATGTCTCAGAGGACGGCATCATGTGGCTGCTTGCTCTGTGCCAGGTACCATGCTAAGCTCTTCACATGCACTGTCTTCTTTAAGCCTCACTTGCTTTCAATGAACACTCTAGCGCCTACTCTACGGTGGGCACTGTTTTAGCACCCGGAGATATATAAATGAAAAGGACAAGATCCCTGCCCAAACGGAGCTTACATTGATTGAGGATGATAGATAATAAGTATGTGTGTAATATAATTTGAAGTAGTTAGTCGTCTGAAAGAAAACAATGTGAAGGAAGAGGTTAGAGAGTGACCGCTAGAAGAGAACAGATTGATACTAAACAGGTTGAGAAAGGGCTTCTTTGAGGAGGTAACACGTAGATAGAAACCTAAATTGAACAAGAAAGCAAACCACATGAACATGTGCAGGAAGTGCATTCCAGGCATAGGGAACGGTGTGGACAAAGGCCCTGAGGCAGAAATGAATCTGGGGAGGGTGTGAAGTATGGTTAGACTGTGGAGATGAGATCAAGATGTTTGATGGGACCACATAGTACGGAGCCCTGTAAGCTGAGTAAAGTATTTAGATTTTATTCTGAGTATTTTGAACAAATGGTTTACATTTTAAAACTACCCCTGACTGTAGGTGTGAAGGATAGACTAGCGACTGAGAATGATAGCAGGGAGACCAGTAAGGAGGCCACTGCAGTGTTCCAGGGGAGAAGGGATGGTGGCTTGGTCTGGGGTAGCGGTGGAGAGAAGTGGTCAAATTTGGGTTATGTTTTAAAGTCTCAGTTGAGGGCAATTCCATCTTGCTAGCTTCTCAGGCCAGAAAGCTTGGAGTCATCCTTAATTCTTTTTATCATACCTGACACCTCCAGTCCATTAACAAAACTTTTTGGCTCTTTCGTCAAAATATATCCAGAAACCAGCCCTTTTCATGACCTCCACTAATATCACCCTCGTCCTCCTAATAGGTCTCCTTGCTTCTGTCATTTCTGCCCACCCCTGCCATCTCCCAGTCTATTCTCAGCACAACCCTCAGAGTCACCCTTTAAAAATGTAGCTTGGGTCATGTTACTCTGTTTAGAACCTTGCAATGACTTTCATTTTAATCAAGAGAAGAAGCCAAAATCCTTAAGATGACCTAAAACACCTTTCCCAATCCAGACCTTGCTTTACCTCTCTGTTGGCCTTTCAAACAGAGTGACTCATGTCACTCCAGCCACACTGGCTTCTTTCCTGTTTGTTCCTCATATATGCCAAGTACACCCCTGCCATAGAACATGGCCCCAGCTATGCCTTCTGCTAGAAAGACTTTTCTCCCAGAAATCCATGTGGCCAAAACTCACCTTCCTCTAGGGTTTGAATTTCACTTCACTGAGGCCTCATGAAGAGTCTATTTAGTACTACAACCTGCCCTCCCTGATATTTTTTACCTTGATCTCTATTTTCTTTTATCTATAGCATTATTTCCCCTGCTAGGAATGTAAGCAGAGATTTTTATTCAGTGGTATCCCAAGGGCCTAAAAGAGTCCCTGGCACATACTATACACTCAATAAATATTTTTGTCAAACAAATGAATGAATGAATGAGGCAAACATGGCTTGCTGATGTTAGGGTAGGGGAAATGGAGAAAGAGGATGACCTTCCAGTTTTGGCCCAAATTACTGGGTGAAAGGTAGTGTGATTTCTTGAGGTAGGGAAGCCTGGAAGAGACATGGGCTTTAAGAGTAAAAACAAGAGCTCCATTTTGTGCATATTAATCAGAGGCATTTATTAGAGATCTCAGAGAGGATGTCCAGTAAACAGTTGGATACATGAGCCTGGAGCTCAGGGTAGAAGTTGGGGCCAGCAAGAGACATTTGGGACTCTTCATCAGTTATAGGTGTTATTTAAAGTCATGACACATAGATAATAAGTCTAGATAAAGAAGAGTTTCAAAGATTGAGCCTTGATGCACTTCAACATTTAGACCTTAGGAGGAGAAGCCAGCAAGGGAGGGGTAAGGGAGCAGCCCATGAGATGAAAAGGAAACCCATAGAGAGCACTGTCTCTTAAGAAAACAAAGGAAGGAGGGAGTGACCAAGTGTATCAGATGTTGCTGGGAGAGTAGGATGAGGTCAGAGAACTGGCCCCTGATCTCTTGACC